AAGACGAAAAAAGTTACTTTACTTCAAAACAAAACAAAAACTGGTTCTTCAACTCTCAACTCAAATTACTCATCGTGTCGACTAAAAATGGTGAATCTATCTATGAGTCCGCGACAAATTAGTGACTTTTGCGCATTGATCACATTATACGGCCACTTTTCCACGTTAAACTAGGGTTTATTAAACAATTTCTCTAAGCCCTGAGTTTTAATAGTCAAAAATGAAAATACCTGGAATGAATTGTGTTGGATTTCAGAAAAAACTTCTGTAGAAAAGGATGAAAGCTATGAAGCGCATAGCAACAAGGTACACTTTGTTCATATTCATTTGGAGCGCTTTCGTGATATCAGTGAAAAAGGAGAACGGTTCAGCTTCACTGGAATGGTCATACAACTTTTGTTGGAGTATCAAAAAAAGCTCTCGTGAACTAAGTCAAGCAATCTTACATTTTTTTGAGGTTGAGTTTAGTAATAAAAAATAGGTTTTTTAGACGCGACCTTTTGACTATGTCTCAAAAAATAAAGCGGGTAAAAAAAACTACCTTCAAATTTGAAATTAATACACCGGACAAGTTTAAGATTTCATGCAACATAAATGCGGTTCCTTTATGCTACTTATTCCATGTATGTATGGCGACGAGCATAAACTATATGTATGAATAGAATGTGTGTTGAACAATAGACTAGTAGGACCGATTGTTAACAAGGACACTAGTTTTCAAAACAAATCTCCAGCAAAACCGATGTAAACATCAGGGTTTAGCTAGTATGTGCTTCGTGATACAAAGGCGTACAAGGAAGTATGTTAGCAGTCAAAATGAATAGACTAAACGTATTCTTCTTCTTAGGGTATTACAAAATAAAAGAAGAGTTAATAACAAAACTCTTCATACATATACGCCAGAAAGTAAGAACTCAAAAAGCAGGCAGAAATCAGCCATCACCTAAAGTTATGCAAAGAAGTACGTTTCCCGGTGTAAAAAGGGTTTTTATTTTAATTTCACACGGGACATAAGTACTTTTATCATATACGAGGATTTTTTTATTTTTACATCGGTGTTATTTTATTGTTAATAATCTTCATTTGTTTTCAAGATAGTATGAGATTACACGAAACGCTTTTTACGCGCTCACTACAAGTGCTGTTGCACGGGACGTTGGTGTGAATACGAATAATTCGGAGCAGAACGCTAAACCAGCTATGCAGTCCTTTAATTTTTTAAACAATTTATTGAGACTCACTATCTCTTATAAATACTTTAGAAACTAAATGGTTTAACTCACTTAGAAAATAATAATAAAGATGCAAAGATTCACTAAGGGATATTTCTAAATTTCCTAACTCGAATTTGATTATTATTATTATTTTTGTTAAAATAATGTACAAATTAAGGTTATTCGCAAATGAAACTATATAAATGTAAGCAGTTTTAAAATTTTGTCATAGAACTAGTAATTATTTAGCAACTGTAAAGATAGTATCAACGCCACGCGATCAAGATGCTGCCAAATAAAGCTCACTTAAAAATAGTAAAAGTGACTAAAGACAACAAAAATATACTAAACCATGATGAATAAAACCATACGAAAGCATGAATATTTTTAGTTCAGGAAAAATTCAAATGAATAATCTGCCAGTGCGCGTCATTACGGGGTATCTGCCAACGTACGGATACATGTCATTGTGGAGGAAGCAAAGAAGAAAATATAAATAAAAACATGAAAATAAGCTATTTTGGTTTTCAAAATGTTTAGTGTTCCTGGGTGACAAAATTTCTATTACTAATATAATTAAGTATTTGCACAAAAATAGATGAAATACTTTTTAAATAACGTCATTCTTATTTCGAAGTAGAGCAAAAAGAGAAAGGAAAAACGAATTAGCAAATGTAAGGATTTGTATACAAATTTACACGTGCACTGAATGAATGTGTGTGTGTGATTTTTTTTGTTTTGAAAATGAGTAAATAAATGCAAGATTGTTCTAGATATTTATTATATACACATATGTATGTATTATACATTGATAAATATAATTATTTTCAGTTATGTACCAGTATTGCTGTCTACATTTTGGGATTGGGAAACAAAAACGAATAGTTATCGTTAAAAATCGTGCTATTGTTTTCCGCAACCGAAATATTCTCCATTAGTTAGCTAGTTAGATTAACAAGTTGCTTGGACACGGAGCCCTCCTCAAGGGAACTTAGGCAAGTTGGCTCGTTGTGATAAAGAGATTCCTTTCACCTCTCCAAATGCTCAAACCGCTTGATAAGTTTTATGAAATTCAGGAGATTAATGACGCCTACCGATGCAAGCTCTGAAAAGCCATCGAAAAAGAAACTTTCGAGAAAACGTTAACGGACCGCACTGAGAGCTGGGCAGTGACAGAAGTTGTGTTCCGCCGACTCCTCCTCATATATGTTCCTACAGCTGTGGTGCAAGTCGTTTGAGAAGCAGCATATTATTATACCAAAAACCCCCTTGCGATAGCGTCCGGTAATTAAGCCGGTTTTTATGCTTCTGGAGGTCAGGTTTAGCAGTAGTAGAGATTTAGTTCTCTTTATCTTAATTAATATCTAGATTTGCCTTGTCAAATTTTATGCAGTTTCACCCAGGCATCTGCAGTGCGCCCTACTTGTGAAGCCTAGACTTAGCAGATACTTTGCCGAGGGAGGCGGTATGCCTACGTCAAGCGCAGAGTTTACGGTGGTTACGACAATACCCTACATCTTCGATATCCCTGTGACCAGGGACCTAAACCAAGGATGTTTTGCAAGATCTCTCTGCAATTTATTGCCACCTTTTAGGTGGTATGATTGCACAGGAGAGACTTAATGGTAGCCGGGCTGTCGGAATATATTGTACTACCAAATGTATGTATGTTTATTTATTTAATAATAATAACAAAGCATTAGTACAATAAGATTTCCATATCTTTTTTAGTACAACAGAGATAGTGTGAAGAATAAGTAAATATTACTTTACAGATACCTTAACAAAAATAATAATAAAAATAAAAATAATTATAATATATNCAACGGGTAGACAAACAAACAAACTGTCTCACTGAAACAATACCAAGAATTTTTATTTAAAATGCCACCGAAACAGTATTAAACTCTCGAGCGTAGACAAAACACGTCCGGCCGCAATGACTTCACATTCAGAATGGAGAATAGGTATGTTCTCCAATTCTAGAAGCATGTTGACCTCTCATTTTGTCTTTTACATATAAGTCAAAAATAGGTCATTTAGTACAAATTGAAGACTATACGGTGGATGACTCATCATTTTGATGTTTTGAGTGCACAAATATGTTGTTGTTTCAGTCTATGTTTGAGAGCTCGATTAGCCGTGGTGAACACTGATTCATCTTCGGCGGTTAGTTCTTTTGAGTGAGTGGTAAACAAATGGTTGTGCACCTTTCAGAATTTACTGCTCTGCGTTGTTCTAGTTCGCGAGCAAATATTGTTGGACTCAGCTCATCTTTAAACTTACTAAATCGTCAATGTATCATCCGTTGCGATATTGTATATTTTACATTTTCCGAAACCAATTCATACGAGCATTTATTTTTGACGATTGACAAATTGTGTGGGATCCCACATCGAAACTTTCATGCAATATTGAATGTATGCTTGTCTGATTAATGCATATAAGTGTCTCAGTCAATAGTTTCTGCAACAACAACTGATTTTGAACGACTTTCATGTAATTCCTATTGAATACCCCTTAGAGGTCGATTGAATTCTCCATCGATGATAAATAAATCTTGTCGTTTATTAAGCTCCATTGTCAAAATTTTAACTTAGCTCATCAATGCTCGTCGAATGTTGTAAAAATCCATTTGTACCTCGTCCAAACAAATGGATTTTTACAACATTCGACGGGTGTTTTAAGTTAATATGAACAACTCAAAGGGAGCGCGTGTCTTCAAACGTTTTGAGTTGTATAACATCAAAAATATAAAAGTTTGCAACCCTCGTACAGTGAGATGGACAGTTTAGGCCAAAAGTCAATTTCAATTCTGTTAAAAAGCATCATTTTGAGAATATATCGCATAGATTTTGGTAATAGCACTGATTTGGAAAATTTATTCGAACATTTCAAGAGATTTTACTAGAATTCGTTAAAAAGGGGAAAAAAATGTTTTTTTTCCAAAATATTTTTGTATGTAGACATTTCTTTGTTAGTACATTTTCTTCACACTCTTTTACTGTATGCCATACGTACATAGAAATTGTCCATTTATCAAAAATTCTAATGTATTGTGTTGACGGAAGACTCTATCGGAAATGATTATTTCGACTAATGAAGAAGCGTAAATTGGTTCTATGAACACTTTTTGGACCATTCTTATTTATATATATTCAAATATTTCACACATTTGTTTTGTATTTCCTTTGTCAAATATGTAAATATGTATGTATATAAGTAAAGCAAACGCAAGTGATGGAAGGAGCTCGGGGTAATGTGGCTGTGGTTGAAATATGTAAATTTAAATAAAGAGAGAAAAATCAGAGAGTGTTCCCCATTTTGTGAATAGTTAAAAAGACGTTCAAAAATATTCCATTTACTTTATGACGAGTGATTAATTACACCGTTATAAGAAACAATTTTTCAGTATAGTACTCCTGAAGAAAGTATCGAGTATTCAAATTTTAAATTTTAAATGCAACAAATAGATAAGACTTTTTTTCACATTTCAAAATTAAAAAAATATTTTTTCTCATTATAGTACACAATCATAATTCGTCAACACATTTCACACGCGTCAGAGTCTTCATAATATAATATTTTTATATTTGGTAATGTCCGACTTTAGCTCAGTTCTTTTTAGGTGTTGTTGCCATGTCTGCAAATATCTCAGTATAAATAATATAATCTGTCATTAACACATACGTATGTATATATATATTTGTATATATATGTATGTATGTGCCTCTATAATATAAATTCATATGCATATGCTGACGTTGAGACCAGTGCGGATTGAAATTTTCAGGTGCAACCAGTTGAGAGCAAATCAAACAAAGATTGACAGGGTCAGCTGCAAGTAATCCATCCATACTTATTATAATTAAATTCTTATCTACATATCTAATATTTCTAACAAGCAACTCTAGGCAAGAATTTTTCACAAATGAAAATGAAAATTTTCAACCATTTGAATCTCTTTCGCTTGGCTCTGTGTACGCATTTGTTGGCCTTACGCTATTGGTTGTTTAATGTGTAGTTGTTTTTTCTACTTTTCTAGTATTTTCTATATGAAATTTTATTTTTATTAATTTGTGTTTCAATATGAGAAAAATTTACATTTAGACAGCCATGAGGAGCGTAAAGCAAGCGCCAAAACAACAACGGAATAAAAAAAAAATAAAGAAAAAAAAATAAAAAAAAATAAGAAAAGAAATAAATGAGACAATTAAAAAGTGAAATATTTGTGAAGCTGAAGGAAATCTGAATATATAAATACTGGCACATTGCTTTGGAAGGTGTGCGGGCGGGTAGGTGGGGGCAGCAACGCTCACACAGGCAGTCTTGACGCGATCGGTTAAAAATAATTTCACCTGAGCATTATTGCCTTGCTGCATTTGTTTTTAGCATTTTCATGTCATTATTTATGACTGACTCGTTGTTGCTATTGTTAAATATTTTCACCATTGGAAATTCAGCATTAAGACATCTATACTATAAACCGTGTGTATATATGTAGTGTGAAGTATGTATGTACATATGTGCAAATGTGAAATTTTGAAAAAAAGTAATAATTCACAAAAACAAATTGAAATTCCAAAGCAAAGCGATTCGGGCAAAATGAGGTCAATGCGAATTGCTTAATAATGGTTGTTTAATTCAATTAAGCTTATTTCATTGTATTTTAGTTTGAAATTTTCGGATTATAATTACTAAGATTTCTATGAGGTGCTCATATATTAGTCCGGTTATCCTGCCATATGCACTTACCCATATGCCATATTGCAAATTTTAATTTATATATTACTTTAATTCCCTTTAGTTCAGTTTAATTTCGTATTTTATATTTTCATTTTTCATTTAGTTTTTTTGTTTTATTTTTTATTTTTCTTTTAATCCAGGAGAATATGGGAGTGGATCTTTCATTTCTAGTTCTGATTGACATTGTAAAGGAGGAGAACATGAAATGATGCAGTTAATTCCAAATCATAAACTTCTTTAATTTCTGTTTATTTTATATTATATATTGCCAGAGATAGTCAGTGATTAGACTTGAATGAATAAGCGTAGATTGGAACCGCATCATTAAGGTTAGACCAGCTTAGGTACATAAAATGACGCAGCCATGCTCATTGCCAAGGACTGATGAAGCGGTGGCATCTAGCACAAGGTCCGTTTCTCTCCATGAGCTTAGCTCGTCGTCGAAAATTGGTAAAGCAGTGAACTTTGCCCTCAAGATCTGTAATGCTGAAAGTTTGCCTAAAATCTTTCAAAGGCACCATAAGAAAGGCATAACGAGTATCTTAGGAGGAATTTCACAGTGAAATTGACGAAAGCGTAAAAGACAACAGATTTGGGAAAGATCTCTTCAAGTGCACCCCAATCCCAAACAACATCCAGAATAATGAATGAACCCACGGAAGAAGAGTTTTAGTCCAATATCAGTAAGATTTTATGTCGCGGAAGTTCGGAATGGTCAATAAAGTAATTTCAATTAAATTTCCAGGGCAAGATGGTATCTTCCTCGCTATACTACAAATACCTGAGGATATCTTAACTTCATCTATATGCAATGCTTAAAAAGCAGCTCTGCGTCAAGAGAATATCCCCAGGCTTGGACTAAGGCTACAGAAACCTGAAAGACCCATCCACATTAGTACGAAGTACTTTTAGTCTACCAGTCTTACCACTATCCTATTCGAAATTTAAGAAAGGTAAGGAAAGATAGCTATATACGCCTAAATCTACCCATAGACAGCTTCTCGAGGAAGCAACACGCTTACTCTAAGGGTCAGTTTGTCAATACAGTACTGCATTATTTAGTCGGATGCATCGAAAAAGATATTGCCACGAAGGAGAACACGCTTGGTACCTCGACATAGAAGGAACTTTTAGAAGCATCCTTTCACAATAGAGTCTCTTCGAGAAGCGTATTGGAAGTCTTGTAGAGTCTCTCCTAAGAAACAGGAGCATTTTCGTAGAGATGGCTAGCGCTCGGACCAGACCAGATACACATCAACACTGATGATTAGAAAATTAAACAGCACAGGCTGTCGTGGACTGGGTACAGAGACACAGTGGCATTCCAGGCAATCGCATTACCGACCAATCTGGGAAGAAAATCAATCCTTCCATCTACAATAAACATGCACACCGTGCGGGCAGAAGGAAACTCTAGATAGCTGAATGAGATCACGTGCAACAGAAGCAGATGGTTGGCAAAATTGTCCGCAAAAAAAAAAAAAAATCAATGCATCGTATGCTTCTGAATCGGTTCTTCACTAGAATAATAACAGGCGTATTAACAGGTATTTGTTTTATGGGGTTTCTTGGGAAAAGAATGGGACACCGCTATAATAATTTTTGTTGCAGTTGTAAGGGCAAAGAGAAGAAAGAGTCTATGGAGCACTAAATCTACTACTATTCAGCCTTGTCATCAGCGCAACACAAGTTCCTTTAGAAACACTCTTTTGACTGTCTTGCTGAGAAGGTGAAAAGAGGAGCTTCACAGCGCTATCACGATCGGTCTATTGGCCTAAGAACGTTGGTCACTGAACAACAGTCACATCAAATGAATTCAAATCATCTATAAAAACTTGTTTCAGCACTTCTTACCTCTATTTCCCTAAGTATTGGTTTCATATATGTATATTTCATTATCAAACATATTATTTACCTATGCTTATTGCTGATGCGTTTTGCGACGTTCTTAAATAAACTTCCGCATTGAAGAGAGTCTGTCACGCTGCCGTCCATAGCACAATAAAAGCAAGTGTCGCTAGCGCGAAACATTGTTTAGTACAAGCTATAAATTTGCAATTTTTCATCGGCTTGTTTCAGATGTAATGAATGCGTTTTTGTATTTTTACAAGCAACAAGTGATACATTTTCGTTAAAATCTGAAGCGTGATCTCACTGGGTGGCAGGTGGATGACAAATTACCATCGCAGCGATTCGAACAATGCAAGCGTGAGGCAAAAAGGTATACTCGTACGCTTTCGTGATTTGTGGGATAATATTTAATACACAGGCAGATTAAATTATCCTCATATAAATATAAATATAAGCGCACAAATACATACATACATATAAACAATTGCAGTGTGCATGTGTAGGTGCATGGCAAGTGCAAATTCGAAAACAAATGCAAATAATTGCAAAATTTATGTTTTACAAACAAAGTAGCTGCAAACAATGAACGACTCGGCTCACTAATTTCTAAATCATTGAACCGTAAATTGTCGTCGCAACGGTGAATGCGTTAAACGCGCGTGTCGTAATTACAAAGAAAATTAGAAAAATAATGAAAAGAAAAAGAAAAAGAGAAATATTTTTGCATGAATTATTTTCATCTAAGATGTAAATCCTTTATATAACTAAATATGTAACAGAAATATCGTTATAAAGTTTAATATTTAGTCAGGCAACTCATATGCATATATGAATGTATATAGGTCTGCTGCTAAATATTATATGTACTTATTGACTAAACTGCTTATTCATTAGCAAAACCACGATGAGGCCAAACAAAACAACCAATATTTTTCAGCTGTTACCGCAGCTGTTTGAAAATCATTCCGGTGCGATTATTCGAATATTTTTGTGCAGAAAATAAATTAGAAAAATTATACAAACATATACATTAAATAGAATGTGTCAGCCCATAACACCGCTAAATTTAATTTGGGTTGGTATAAGTATATTTTTTCTCTATTATTGAGTTGCTTCTATGTGACACGTACATATTTTTGTGCTCAAAAATATCTTCAGTTGTCTAGTTAAAAATAAATGCTTTCGTTAGTTAGAATATTCTAGAAAAAAACTGAAGAAATCAAACCGATTAATATGTTGTAAACAGCTCAAACTTTTTCAAAACGTTTTTTTAATTAGTAATAGAAAATTTAAATTTAGGTGTAAATTCGACATTGCTTCTGATCTCATAAAATAAGTCAATCCCACGTGGGTACATGACATACAGTTTGGTTTAAATATTTTTTGCACACTTTGCGTCTACCAAAAAATAATTTAGCTCACGAATATACGACACATCCTCAGTAAACATGTCGTATTTAAATAAATTTAGTACAATGTAAACATATAAAGACAGCGAGTCATTGAGTAGCCCAAACGTCTGACATTGAAACAACGACATTCTTTTACACTTACAAATAAGACAAATAAATTACAGTAAATAAAATTAACGAAAATAGAAAAAATGACATCGAATCATCAAATAAGATAAAATAATATATATAAAAAATAATTAAATTGTATATTAATCTAAGTTGATAAAAAAAAATGAAATAAAATAAAATAAAATAGAATAAAATGAAATAAAATAAAATATAATAAAATAAACAAAAATAAAATAAAATAAAATATTAAGAAAATAAATGGCATCATTGCTACATCGAAATGCGTCACTAGCTTTCCGAGTTTTGCCGAGTTATGGAGTTCAGGAAACTGCGGTAAACTTTTCACAGGCATTCCTCTGTATTGTGCGTAGTTTTTATGGAATCGGCTATACACTTTTTCTATATCTATTGAAACATCAGTTTTTCTTCGTTCAATAGATTTTCTGCTCTGTATACCGCCGCTTATTCCAGTACTTCTTTAGAGCCCACCACTAAATCCGAATTGGACCTTAGTTCTTGCTCCACTTCTTGCTTTATCACCTCCCTTCTAGCTTCGGTGATGTAATCATTCCTACGTACTGCACGGATTTGATCAGACAGGTTCTATTCGGAGACGTTCATCTGCGGATATTTTACAATAAACTTCTCACGTAAACGTTTTATAAAAAGTGTTCTATGTGTTTCTGGTTTAGTAATTTGTAGGTAAGTGCGTAGTAAATATTCGCTTACTTCTGTTGTTCATTTTTTACGCTGTCTTGGTGACACTGTCGGGTTGGTCGCTGCATTTGATGCCTCATTTTCCTTCCACAAAAGTATGATTGGAATGATTATTTAAATAATCCGAGGCTTGATCTATTCTTCTAATTTTTTTTAATGATTTCATTTTATACCTCCCGACAGGTTATAATACAACCGCTTCTCACATGAAGTGCAGACGTTGACGGAATCGCTGCTCACTCTGAGGCAAACGCGATTGGATTCGATGATCAATTTTGGTCCGCGAGTGGTATTTTATTTTCCACCTACCCGATATATCTTCCGGGCGTTCCCCGATACGCCACCTGGGGACGCGTCCGATGGGAGACTGTACACTCCGCACGGACATTATTATTAAGCATGTATTATTGTATAATGTATGTATTATTATATTTATAACTGAAATGCACATTATTGGCTTGCAGCTGAGCTGTCGCCAACAGATGAAATAAAATAAAATAAAATAAAACAAAATAATACATATAAACAATTGCACTGTCTTTATGTATAAAAAATGAATTAAAATGAAATAAAAAAATTAAATGATATAAAAAAATAAAAAAAATTGAGTAAAATGGATTAAAATAAACTAGAATAAAATAAAATAAAATAAAATAAAATAAAATAAAATAAAATAAAATAAAATAAAATAAAATAAAATAAAATAAAATTAAATTAAATTAAATAAAATGAAATAAAAATAAAAAAAAAATAGAAAAAAATGAAATAAAATAAACTAGAATATAATATAATTCAATAAAAATTATAAAAAAATAAAATAATTAAAAATTTAATTTAACTTACATATATTTAATTTAGTTTGGTTTTATTTAAATTTATTTTATTTTATGTCATTTATTTCTTTACGTAATTTAAAATTATAATTGTGTTAAGCTTTTTTAAATTTTATTTCATTTTACCTTATTTTGTTTTTCTTAATTTATATTTATTCATTTTTTTTTAGTATACATTTTCAATTTTACTTATTCTATTTATGTAATTTAGTTTAATTTAAATTATTTATTTCTTTAGTTTATTCTTTAAACTAATTTAATTTAGTTACACTAATTTAATTTAGTTAAACTAATTTAATTTAATTGTTATGAATATAATTTAGTTTAAATTAGTTTAATTTAAACTTTTTTTTATTATATTATATTGTATATTATTTCTCTTTATAGTGTTGTATTTCAAATTGTTTCATATAATTCATTTTAGTTTTTTTTTTAATTTTAGTTTATATTCTTGGTTTTGTTTTATTTTAATTTATATTATTTTATTTTATTTCACTTTATTTTAGTGTTTATTTTGTTTAGCTTAATTTTATTTTACAAATTTTTAATTAAATTAATTTACTTTTATATAATTTAGTTTTGTTAGTTTAATTTTTTACTTTATTCTATATTTTTTATTTAATTAATTTTATTTTATTTTAATTTAATTCAGCTTATATTTTTTTATTTTAATATATATTAATTTATTAAATTTTTTAATTTTATTTTAATTGTTTTCTTTTTATTTCTTTTCCTATTTTATTTTAGTTGTAGGACAAAAAATGCTTAAAATAACCCATAGTTTTATTCTTCCGTTTAACTCCTTGTTTTTTTAACACCAATAGATGCTTCTTCTTCTTTTTATTTGTTGTAGGCAACGCTTACGCGATTATAGCCGAAACTTCGTTTTTATCAAATGATGTATTTGTAAATTGTTTCTTTGCTGTTCAGTCTCTCGTGACCTAAACATAACTTCGAATTACACCAGACAGCCATATTTTTCTTGGTTTTTTATAACGGCAAATGTATACAAATAATTGCAATAACGGTTTCATTATTGACGGAATATTCTTATTTTGCTGAAGTTGAGTTTCTGCTTTCGATTTTTATTTATTTTCGTTTCATTAATTTCCATTTTCAAAATTTAACCCTTTTAGTCGCTTTGTTGTTTGTTGTTGGAATGACTGAACCATTGTCGAAAATCGCGACCCGCAATGTTTTCTAAGCGGCTTAAATGCACGCATTTGCTGTTGTTGATTTTATGTCTTAAGTTTGCTTACATTTGGCCTTAACAACAATAGCAACAGCAGAGGCTGGAACAACAGCGGCCGCAGACATTCGCCTAAAGTTGAGCTACCTTTTTTTGTTTTTTTTTTTACTTTTATTTAAATTTTTTTTTTCAACTTACAATTCAAAAAAGTAAATATTGACATTCCCTTTTCACTGACTGACGTATTTTATGCCATGCTGAGTGAAAGGAGGATTGAATATGTCTAAAAATGTGGGAGTAAGAGTCGTGGACGCTGAAACCCTTTTTCACTTAAAATTACTGTTAGCACTTTTGCAAACATTGGCGTCGAGGCAATCGGAAAATGTGGCGTACTTTGAAATTTTTTGGATGTTGTTGTTTGTGTTTTTTGTTATACAGAATTGTTTCAACACCTGCATACACGAAAAGTTAAATATTTACCACATTTAAGATTGCCTTGTTGACGCACGGGTTGCCGAAAGGCGGAGGAAAGTTAATAATCTGTGTAGAGAATTTTATAAGGTGATTAGCGTTGAGCTATTTACACATTGGCTAATTATTATTTATGGCAAATTTTTAATTATGAAAAGGTAAAGACTTCAATAAATTGAACACAGGTCTATTGTAGATATATAAAATGTATATGTATTAGGAAACAGTTGTTGCTTGCTGGAAAACTGCCAGGTTGATGCGAGCAAAATATGATAGGTTTTTGGTTTAGTGCTTAAAAAACATTTCTGCGGTTCATACTTTTTATATCGTTCAATTAGCATATTAATTAAAATTCAGCCAATTGTTTACACTCATTAATAATGGCGGGTGGAATTGCTTCATGGGCTTAGCAAAGGCAGAAATGAAAGAAAAATCACATGCGATAAATACATATACATAATTACCTATAAATTAATATTCTCATACTCATACATACATCATAAAAAATTAAAAAACTTCCGTTTAGTGGCGTATTTTGGGAAAAGTTTACAAAAAATCGAATCCTAAACTTTTCAATTAAATTTTTTTATATATAATGTAATTTATTGGGTTACCCAAAAAGTAATTGCGGATTTTTTAAAAGAAAGTAAATGCATTTTTAATAAAACTTAGAATGAACTTTAATCAAATATATAATTGCTATTTTGTTCGATAATCTTTTGCCATCTTCCTGGCAAATTTAGTATTCCACGCTCATAGAACTTCTGGCCTTTATCTGCAAAAAACTGAACCAAGTGCGATTTTATAGCCTCATCATTGCCGAAAGTTTTACCATTTAAGGAGTTCTGCAAAGATCGAAATAAATGGTAGTCTGATGGTGCAAGGTCAGGGCTATATGGTGGATGCATCAAAAGTTCCTAGCCAAGCTCACTCAGTTTTTGGTGAGTGACCAAAGATGTGTGCGGTCTAGCGTTG